GTCCTCCTCTCTGGGCATTTCCGATGTTCCGTGACCCCAGAGGGCCACTGGGGGCCCAGACGTGAAATAACCTGACCTGGCCTTGGTCGGGGGCTGGGACAGCCGGGGCTTTGGCAGGAGAGGCAGGGGTGAGGATGAGGACTCGGGATCCCTCCTTCCTCCGTGAAGGTCCTCCCGCCTTCCCGCTGCATCCCCAGCAAACCAGAGCTCGGGACCTTCAGCGGGTCCTCGGCCCTTCTGAAGGGGGACCGGGGGGCTGGAGGCTTCTGGCTGTCGGAGGACTGAAGAACAGCAGCTCTGGGCAACTCCTGACCACCCCCTCCACCCATAGAGGCCCATCAGCTCCATCTGACCAGTTCTGGCTGGCTTCTGAGTGGCGACTGATCAGGAATGCGGGGATGCCAGGGCGGCACCCTGTGCAAACATCTGGGACCCCGCCTCTCACATCTTCACAGTAACCCCCACCACCCTGGCAGGTACAGTCACGGCTGCTTGGGGGGCTTGAGACCACAGCCTGGCATAGCCTCCCTGCCGGCCCCAGGGCCAGTGCCAGGGTGCCATCAGGGCCTGGCATGCTGAGGGGACCAGGGTTTCTGCTCGCAGAGGGAGGAAGCAGAGGCTGGCAGCCACAGCTGCTGTCCTCCGGTGCTAACTGGCCCTGGGGAGAGCCATGTGGGAGCGGGTGTCCAAGGAGAGGCGTGCCCGCACCCACGCTGGACCTCTGGGTGACGAACAACCCCGCCGCCCCGTTGCGCTGCAGACACTGGTCATGTGTCCGAATGCCCATGAGCCACGACACACTGCGGGCCTGACACCTGGGGCATAGGGGAAGGGAGGGAGACGTGATGGCAGGACCTCTCCCGCCTTCCCGCTGGGACGTGATATCCCAGGACCCGACCAAGACCTGGGCTTGTGCTGTTTGTTCTGTTGTCATGATCACTCCTGCTGTGAACCTTCTGCCACCAGGGAGCTGGGGGTGAGGTGCGGACCTTGAGTCCAAGGGGCAGAGAGCTCGTTCCCCTTGGGAGTCTTGCTGGAATGAGGGGCTGTCTGTCCATCGCTTGGTGGGAAGGGCCATCCTGGCTCGGTTGCCAGTCTAGGAGAGGCCTCTGGAGGCCCTGGTGGTGACGGCAGCTGCACAGGTACCAGCAGCCCTTGGAGGTGCCTCCAGCTCCAGGCGCCCAGGCCCCAGGTCCCTCCAGGCCCAGGCGGCAGGGCACCACCCCCGTAGTGCCCCCTGGTGGCCGATGGCGGGGCCGCGCCTTCTCCTGGTCTCCAGGAGAAAGTGTATCCTGGGGGCCTTTGGGGCCTAAAGTGAGAATCGAGGTACTTTCCTGGAAAGCAGTCATCTCCCTCTGCACCCCACAGCCACCGCCTCCACGAGGCACTGACCCTTAGCCTTGAAGGAACGTCCTGCGTCTGAGCCCCAGAGCTCTGGACTCTGAAAGGTGAGGTTGGGTGCCTGGAGCCTCACAGGTCTGTCTCCCGATCTCAGCATGGCAGGACTGAGGTCATGGATGTGACCCGTCAGCAGGAGTGGGATGGACATGGCCGGGAGCTGTAGCTCCTCCCGCGCTCACGGAAGGTTCTGGGTCTGCTCTGCCCAAGGCTGCCACCAGCCAGCCGGGGGTGGGTGGGTTCTGGCTCTCTTATAGAGAAGGGGACCAGAGAGGACTCAGTGGCCGTGGTGGCCCCTCTGCTTGCCCTCTTACGGAGGAGGGGACCCGAGGGTAGTGGTGCTGCCATAGCCGGAGGTGAGCTCCCACCGACGGCGGGACGTGGCGGAAGCTGCGGAGCCTCCGGGGCCTCACAGGCGGTGTCTCCTTGAGAGCCTCTGGGAGGTCAACGGACAGCTGACGCGGCCCCACATTCCTCCTCCTCTTTCTCGCCTTTCCATCTGGACCAGAAGGAGACAGCGACGAACGATGCTGAGGCTCAGAGACACCAGCAGCTTACGCCCCTCCCCACCGGGTCCACATCGTGAGGAGCGAACCTCACGCTGCGAGGAGGCACACGCCCGCCCGCCACGTGGGCCCTCCGTGCCCCGCCCAGCTGCCCCACTGATGCCCAGGGCCCAGGCCAGAGCTGGTCCCCTGTGTCTTGCCCAGAGGGCAGACCTGTGAGCAGAAGGACCTGAGTTCCAGGGGGCTTGTCCCGAGCCAAGTGAACCAGAGGGGAAGAAAGCGTGGACACCACCCAACACTGAGGTCACAGGGCCAATCCTGGCCCCACCCAGCTGGCTGTGTGAGCCAGGACAGCTTGCTTGCCCACTCTGAGCCTCACTGTCCTCATCTCCAGGGTGGGCATACCCTTTGCAAGATGGTGGGGGGGGGGACTGAGAGGGGGCAGGTGGGCAGGTGTCTGGTCACGGGTCTGTGCGTGTGGCCGGCAGGGCTCCCACTCACCCCTGCCTCCCTCTGTGGGTTCCCCTACAGCTCCACACCATTTGAGGGGTGGGGGACCCTCATGTCCCCAAGAGGGTGGCCACAGCTGGATCTCCCACTGGTCCTGGGTGCTCCGGGCTCCGTTGCCCATGTTTCAGGGCTGGGTGAGATGACCCAGCCTTTGTGCCCACTCAGTCTCCCCTGGGCAGCCCGCTGCATGGTACAGCTGCAGGACAGCAGGGGAGCTCCAAATACAGATGCAACGGGAGCAGGTGAGGACAGGCATGCTCATTACATTTCAAGGTCCCTGGTTAAGCAGTCACCGTTGATGGCAGCAGAACATGGCTCTATTGCGACAGCGCCCTGCTGACCCACGGAGAGGCCTGGTGGGGGTCAGGGGCTGGGGCACAGGACCAACCAGGGTAGATGGGGAGCGGGCGGGGAGGACAGCAGGGCCTCGGCCACAGAGGAGGAGACGGCCTCAGCCCCTCTGTGGCTTGACACGGTCCAACTGGCAAGGAACTTGGGGGGCTTGGCACTTGGTAGTTTACAAGGAACTTAGGGGATATGGTGCTTGACAGTTTATAAGGACTCGGGGGCTTCACACTTTACAGTTTATAAGGACTTAGAGGGCTGGCACTTCACAGTTTACAAGGACAGAGTCCAGGGCAGGCTTTGTGGAGTAAGATTGGCACCCTGTGGCTGGGTGCCTGCTGGCACAGGTGGGAGCCTGGCAAGGCAGCTCCCCACATGCAGCTGGGGATGGACAAGACTCCCGCTCAGCCGCGGCCAGGGGGCCCTGCTACACGCTCCCGGCTCACCCCGTTCTTGTGTCCTCAGGGCACACCTGGGCCGAATCGCTCCTCTTTCCCCAGGGGTCTCCCAGCTCCGAGGACTGCACACACATACAAGGTTGCTTGGCTCTGGGGCAGGTGTGAGCCTGGCCTCCCGTCCTGGGCCAGGATGCACCCACAGCTGCATGTCACACGCACTGTCCCGAGGGGAGGCAGCAGCTGCTCACCTGAGCTTCATGCCACAGAGCTGGGGTGATGGGAGATCGGACAGAGAGGGTATGACGGGGTCCTCACGGGCTCCAGGGCCCACCTGGGGGTGACAGCTCCACTGCCCAGCATGGCTCTCCTGCCATCTGGGGCTGGAGCTGTGAAGGATCACTGTTGACACTGAGAAAATTGTAATTGGCATTCCCCATTAATGAGGGCAGCTGCATGCAGCTCCTGCCAAGAAGCTGTCAGGATGAATGTGCCCAGAATAATCACATGAGGGAGGGGAGAACGGGGGCTGGTAAATGCCACGGAAACCAGCAGACAATCAGTCAGTGGTTTCCCAGGCCGGTCTTCACCTGCCCCCTTGTGTGACCTGTGTGTGTGCATGCGTGCTCAGTCATGTCTGACTCTTTGAGACCCCATGGACTGTAGCCCGCCAGGCTCCTCTGTTCATGGGTTTCTCCAGGCAAGAATACAGAAAGTGGGTTGTCATTCCCTCCTCCAGGGAATATTTCCGACCTGAGGATTGAACTTGTGTCTTTTACATCTCCCGCGCTGGCAGGCGGGTTCTTTACCACTAGCATGTGAGCCTGCCTGAGACTGGCTGTGGACCTGGGCATGTCTCGACTCCTGGGGCCTTGGCTCTCTTGGGTGGTGTGTCTGACTCTGCAGTGCTGAGGCCCCATGTGTGCAGGGAGATGCCACGGGAAGCTGGGAAGACGCGGCTCGGGGCAGGGGAGGGTCTGAGTGTCTATGGCTCCTTTAGCCATCACCTGTGATGTCAGACCCTGCAGGCCTGTCCCCTCCATCCTGGCTCAGAGGGTGTGATGGTCAGGCTTATGTGTTGGCTTGACCAGGCTGTGGTCCCAGGGAGCCTCTGGGATGCTTGTCCAGGAGTTGCCATGGAGGTATTTGGAAGACAGGGTTCACTCTACAACTGGTTACCCCAAGCAAAAGGGATGCCCTCCATATGTGGTGGGCCTCATCCAACCAGGTGAAGACCTTACAACAGAATCAGGGGTTTTCCTGAGATGAAGGAATTCTGCCTCAAGACTGTGGCATCAGCTTCTGCTGCAGTTCCAGCCTGCTCTACAGATTTTGGGAGCTGCAGGGACACAGACGTGGTCTGGGTGACATCCCTAGGGCTGGCTTTGCCCTCGGGGCTACAGGGACCAGTCCACCTCTTTTCCTGCCCACAGTCTGTCTGGATCACCCTGGCTGTACTGAGTTAGACTGAAGGTGCTATTGGATGTGGAGGTGGCTCCTGTCCTTCACACTATAAATAATACTGCCTGGGACATCTTCTGCTTGTTTTTTTTTTTTTTTTTTCTACTATTAGCTCTTACTAGCAATAAAGCTGAGCAATGCTGATACCATGTGTCTACAGGATTTTTGGCATTTCCTTGTCTACCAAGCAAAACCCTTGTGGGACGGTTTCTGAGGGTATTCCATCTCTGACCCTTGATCTGCCACACAGACAACATCTGGACCTGGGAGCCTCAGTGTTCCCATCTGTAGAGTGGGAACTGCTCCCCAGCCATGTCGTGGTCACAGGAAGGCGTGGCATCCTGGGTGGATGCTATTCTGACAGCACTCAGACAGACCCAGGGGCTGAGGTTCACAAGACCCCAAAGGGGTCATTTTCATAAGGAGGGTCTGATGTTGGAAGGGGAGGCAGTGGGACGGTTGCGTGGGTGAGGTGCATGGGAAAGAGGAGAGAGACCCAGAATGCCATCTTCGGGTGGGTGTCTGTACCAGTTCTCTTCCGAGCTGGAGACCTTTGAGATTGGACAGGGATAATGCCAGTCCCCGGGTGGCAGGCGTGGACTGGTCGGGTGAGAAGCCATGCTGGCCACCCTCCTCCCTGATGCAGTCCAGTAGGGCCCCTCCCATGTGGCTCTGCTGAGAGGACAGCGGGTCAGGCAGAGAAGCCGCCTTCAGCTCCATAGGGTCCTGTGGGTTCCGTTAGGGATCATGAGGCCAAGGCCCAGGTCTATGAGGTGCTCCCTCTCTGAGGGTAGACTCCCCTCAGCCCCTGTGTGGTCAGTGGGTGGAGGCCACTCTGGATCCACCCCACGAGCCTGCCTCACAAGGGTGACGGATGGCAAGTCCCTCATTTCTGGGCACCTCCCCCAGACCCCACTCCCTCAAGGTTCAGGACCCCCTGGTCTCAGACCTGAAGGTAAGAGTCCATGTGCTCGCCCTGTCTGGACACCCCAGATCTTCGAACCCTGCACCTCCAAGCAGCCTGAACCCCCATCCAGGCAGAGGTTCAGCTTTCAGCAGACCCAGCATGGTGGGGACGGGTGTCCTGCTGAGCAACCGTGCTCTGGGCAGCCGCGGGCTCCGGTCGGCAGTTGGGGACGCTCTGTGTCTCTGCTCATGTCATCCACACAGACATCAGTCCCCCTAGGAGTGGTACCCGGGGTTCCTGGATGAGGGGAGATGGGGCAGAGGAGGGAGGAGGGCGGGGCCAAGCCATTGTCCAACCCTCTATGGGTGTGGCTCCTCCCCAGGGTCTCTGACTGGAGCCAAAGGCTGGCAGAGGATAGGCAGTGCTGGCATCACCCTCGCCCAGGGCTTAGAGGCCCTTCCAGCTTCCTGGGCCCACTCTGGTGGCTCTGGTTCAGGGTGGCAGGGAGTTAAAAAATAAACACTAAACTGCCCTGGAGACTCCGGAGGGAGGGACAGAGCTGTGGGAGCCGCCGTCTGCGTTTCAGGTTGGGGGCTGGTGGAGGTGGGGGGCTTGTCTCTGCCCCCTGTGCCCACTGGCATAGGGCGAGTGGCCGGCAGCGGGGGCCGCCCCGGGGACAGCAGAGGTGCTCTGCGGGCTGACGGGCGGAGCTGCAGGTGTACGGGGAGAACGCTCCGCTGTGGCGGGCAGCTCCATCCGGCTCCTTGTGGGCTGAGCGGTTTCCTCTGGGGCATCAGGGGTGGGCAGTCTGGGGCAGAGCAGCAGGCAGGTGTGGAGGCTCCCTGGCCCCCAGTGGTGCTGGCCTGGCCTCTTGGTGGCTCAGGAGGGGGCAGAGGGTCAGAAGGAGGGTCGGCCAGCAGCTGCTTCACATCCCCCCTCCTACAAGGACCCTGGGGGGCCTGGCCTCTTCCCTCGGCCTGCATCTGACTCTCGGGGGCAGAGGCAGGAAAGGCATCCTTCAGAACCCAGGGGTCTTTTGGGTTGAGCCACAAGGTGAGGGTCTTTCTGCTCCCTTTCCTCCTGAGCAGGCATTGCTGCGTGGAGGTCATAGCTGCAGGAACATCCTCACACCAGGGCAGGCCGTGGGAAAGCCTCAGAGCCTCCCAGCTTCCTCACCTGTGAAGTCCCTCAGCCAGCCTCCTGGTCACAGGGGGGCAAAGCGAGCTGGCAGGGGTGAGCGGGTCTGCAAAGAACGAAGGAGTTGCCAGCTCCCCAGGTCAGAAGGGGCGGGCACCACCTTATAGGCCCAGCCGGGGACCAGGCCCCTGTGTGGCTGAGGTGGTGGGAATGGCAGTGGCCACCACCTGCTGGGTGCATGGCCATGGGCACCTCACTGTGCACAGTGGCCCCCCGGCACCTCACTTCACCCCGGGGCCTCGGTTTTCTCTGCTCTGAGATGTGACAGCAGCACCAGCTCCACAAGGTAGTGAAGATTAACTGAGGGGTGTGCTTTGGGACAAGGAAAAACTGATCTTTTAATTTGAACTCATAATTGGAGAAAGGTTCTCTAGGTTTCCCCCAATCCACTCAAAGGATCATATAGTTTTAAAGGCCCTGTTCTGATTCAAGGTAGTTCCTTTCACAATCCCAGCTGTCTTTTTTGCCAAAATTGCCAAGTTGATCCTAAAAGTCACATGGAAATTCAAGGGACCCAGAACAGCCAAAAAAAAGATCTTGGAAAAGGAGAACACAGTCGGAAGACTGACACATCCCAGTTTCAAAACCAACTTCAAAGCTGCAGTAATCAAGACAGTGTGGTGTTGAATAAGAACAAATATACAGATTAATGGAATGGACTAGAACTGAGAGCCTAGAAATAAACCCTCACGTTTGCAGTCAACTGATCTTGGACAAGCTTCTCAAGACAACTCAATGGGGAAAGGATAGACTTTACAACAAAAGGTGCTGGGATAACTGGACATCTCCATTCGAAAGAATGAAGATGGGTCCCTACCTCACACCAGACACAAAACTTAACTTGGAAAGAGTTGGCAACCTAAATATAAGAACTAAAACCACAAAACTCTTAGGACAAAACAGGAACAAACCTCTCTGATCTTGAGTTAGACAATGACTTCTTACTATGACACCAAAGGCACAAGTGAAAAAGAAAAAAATAATTAGATAAACAAGAACTCATCAAATTTAAAACTTCTGTGCTGTGAATGACATCATCAAGAAAACAAGAAGGCAACTCCCAAAGTGGGAGGAAGTTTTTGCAAATCTTACGTCTGATAAGAGAGTTGGATCTAGAATATGGAAAGAATGCTTGCAACCCAATAATAAAAAGGCAAAAAATACAACTGAAACATGGGCAAAGGATCTGAACAGACCTTTCTCCAAAGAAGATAAACACATGGCCAGTAAGTACAGGGAAAAATGCTCAGCATCGTCAGTCAGCAGGGAAAGGCAAATCAAAGCCACAGTGAGATCCCGCCTCACGTGCACTAGGATGGCTGGATGCACAACGCCAGGAGACAAGCGCTGGGAGAATGTGGACCAGCTGGAGTGTGAAGTGGTGCAGCCCCTTTGGAAAACAGTCGCACAGTTCCTCCGAGTGTTAAACATACAGTTATAACATGGCCCGAGGTACCTGCCCAAGAGAAACGAAGACCTATGCCCACACAAAAACTTGTATATGAATTTTCACGGTGGTACTGTTCACAACAATCAAAAAAAAGTGGAAAAAACCCAGACATCTCTCTGCAGATGGATGGATAAATACCGGTACAGCTGTGTGGTGACCGTCACTCAGCCTAAAGGCAGCGCTGACTCAGGCCACGGCCTGGGAGACTTGAAAGCATGGTGCTAACTGAACAAAACTGGTCAAAGGGGCGTCTGTTTTATGTGAAATGTCGAAAGCCTTGGAAACAGGAATTGAATTTGAGGGTGCTGGGATGGGGAGGGGGTTGTGGGGGACAGGGGCTAAAAGGCCTGAGAGGCCTTTGGGGGTGAAGAAATGTCCTGGAATTTGAAGGTGGTGCTGCTGGGGATGGTTGCACAACTCTTGAGTACACTGAATCCCACTGAGCCGTATACTTGAATAGGGTGTTTCACGGTATGTGAGCTGTATCTAAATAACACTGTTTGGGAAAAACACTCACTGCCCCCCTCTCCCTGCACTGAGAGACCAGGGGGGCAAGGAAACTCGCTTCTGGACCTTCAGGCCTGAGTCCAAGTACAAGCACAAGGATTCCAGGCCGGCCTTCCATGCCGGTGCGCGGCTCCAGACCGTTTCTGCACCGCTTGTGTTTTCCGCAGCTCTGGGGTCACTGTTAAGCCTGCCCTTTGAGGCAGCCTGGTTGCAGCTGGGGGCAGAGGGGCCTGTTGTGGAGCCCCGTACCGCCCACCCCCAGCCCCTTCAGTGAGAGCATGGTGGGAGGCAGACTGGAAAGCGGGCAGACCGCGAGCCGGAGGAGCGGCAGGTATTAGTCTGAGTTGGGAAGAGAAGCCGTGGGCCCACCTCCTTGTGTCCTTATGCTGATCACTCCCCCAGAGAGCATCTAGGACCGCCTCGTATAAGCACAGTGCTGGCCCAGGAGGACGGGGTTGTGCCATCCACAGCCCCAGACCCGTGCGAGCAGACTCGGGGGTGGGAGGGCCGGGAACCGGATGGGTGGGCTGAAGGGAGCAACCGCTGAGACAGGTTTTCAAGAAGAACCACACTTTAACATATTTGCTCTTAAAAAAGGAATGAGCTTTATCTTTATCCATCAGCCAGACTCAGAGATGAAATATTTTTACCATTAATACCATCTGGACTCCTCTGTAATTGTTTCATAAGAGCTTGGGGCCCCGCCAATGGCAAGGACAGAGGATTAGACCACAGGTGACCAGACCTCATCCCCATCTTTTCTACCTCCTCCCCGTGTCCCTACTTCCTGGAAATGATGACCACCCCCCAGGAAAGCCTGGCCCCTCTTGACTGGGGTCTGCAGAGGCACTGCTCTCAGTGGGTGCGGCCCTGCTTGAGGTGGAACTTGGGGCTTCTCTGAGCTTCAGTTTCCTTGTCTCTAAAGTGGGCACAATTATGCCCACATCACAGGTGCTGTTGTGAAGATCGGTGGGGAATGATGAAGCAGCACAACTGTTGGATGTCATCCTGACAGTGACCCCACCGCTCAGGACCTGACATCACCCTGATAGTGACCCCTGCCCCCATGTCCTGGGATGCCCAGCCTTGCACAAGACCAGGGGCCGGAGGCAGAGGGCAAGACTTGTCTCCCTGTAACCCACCAAAACCACGTGCAGAGACGCAGAGACAGATGAGAGGGTGGTTGGCCCTGCCTCACCCTGGGGACACCTGCAGGGTCCCCCACTGACAGCCCACACCCCAGAGGCTCCTTCTGGTGGCAGAACTCTCCACAGGCCCCAAGCAGGCCCTGTTTACAAATGATCATCCACCCGTACCTGTGGACCATGTCTGTGTCCTGCCCCCCACCCCTGCCCAAAAGGTCCTGAGAGGAGCCGTCCCAGGAGCACCCTCCTCTCACCGCAGTGTTCCTCTACATACTCGGGGAGGCTTCTGTCTGAAAGATGACCATTAGAAAAGCGGGGACCCCCTCCAATTGTCACCCAGTCTCAGACGTGCGAGGCAAGCGCCCAGCTTTGTTCTGAGTCAGTCACCTTAGGGGTCATCACGGAGGACCCCAAGGGGCTGCAACTGTCACCTGAAACTATTCTACAGGACTTGAGTCCTCCTTGCCAGCGTTTGATCCAATGGTGGCTAACGCCACCGCTCCCGGTGTGCCCGGATCTCAGCCCTGGGGCAGTAACACCACAAGGGGGTGGGGATGGTGCGGCAGGGCCCGGGGCACCAGAGTCAAGTGCTGCCCAAGTTCACCTCTGTGCAGCATGGCCTCCGGCTCGATGAAACGGACACAGACGGACTGTCTCCAAGGGCCAGGGCTGAAGAGGGCGAGGGGGAGCTGGCCAAGGTGGCCAGCCTGGCTCTGAACCTGGGTCTCCCAAGCTCTAAACCCAGCATCCAGTCATGGACAGCTTTTAGCCCACCTTGAAGGCAAGACACATCTGCCTGGCCGGGTAAGCGTTTCCAGTGGACCCATCAATCAACTCGTGAAGCAGAATCAGCCTTGTTGAAATCCACATGACCTCGGGCCACGGGGGAGTCGACCTGACCTCTCATAGTGGAGAAGTTCAGATTTCTTTTTCCAGGTCAAACAACCAAGGTCAGACGATGCAAGCAGACCTCCTGAAGCCGAGACTCGCAGCGGGGCTCTGGTGCATC